ACCGCCTTGTGTGCCTTCCCTTTCCTGGGCGGCCCCAGTGCGGCAGTCTATCTATCATCTCTCCCCTTGCAATCAGGATCCATTGCAGGAAAGAAGGCAGAGTACCTCCCACCCCGCCCCGAAAACCAGTTTCCGTTCCCTATGCCTGTTGCCCCATCTTCTCAGGATAGGATCCCATGCCCCTGGGAGGGAGTGGTGGTGGTGTATCTTATACTCTGAGGAAGGTCCCTCCTGCCTCCTCCATTTGGGAAGTTTACTTTGATTTTGTGTTTTGAGACAGGGTCTCATCTACAGCCCAGACTGGCCTTGAACTCACGATGTAGTCAAAGGATGACCCCGATCTTCTGATCCTCATGCCTCCCCTCTCAAAAGGCTGAGACACAGGTGTGTGCACCACATCTGGTTTTAGTCATGCTGGGGGTTGTACCCAGGGTCTCCTGCATCCCAGCCAAACACTCTACCACCGGGGACACACTCCCATATTTCCCCATATTCTCCAGTGCTCACTGCGCTTTCTTCAAGGAACCTAAGAGATCTCCGATGAACAAGGCTCTGAGTGGGATTCAAACTCAGATAATAGCACAGGAAAAGGCATGAAAGTGGAGACAAAGGAGCGCACACTTGACAAAAGCAAGGAAGGTAAGAAAGAGAGACAGACAAATCAGGAAGCATTGCCACATAAACTTGATATTTTGCAAGAAGAGAAATAAAACTGTGTGAAGAAAAAGTCCCCTTTGCCAGCCCCCCCCCCTCTGCTTGGTTGAAAATGTGAGGTAAAGAGGAACACAATTATCCACAATGCTGGCCTTCCCTTTAGCTGGGAAACCTCCTGCCCATATTTACAGTCGGTGGGTCTCTGTCTTGTTTCCATGGCTCCACTCGAGAGTGGAAGAGGCAAAAGAGCATACTAATAGTAATTAATGGCCACGAGCAATCAGTTGACTTTGAGCCCACGGTTTCCTGGTTGGGTGTCTATGGAAGGTGCAGATGCCCCAGTGACTCTGCATAGCTGTGTGAATGAAGGGGTTTTCACAGCCTGCATGTCTGGTGTCAGAGCACAAAGTAGGCCTTGGCTGGTAGGTTAAGGGGGTCCAGAGCTGGTAGTGAAAACCTCTATGACAAAAATGATAATACATTAGGCTTTCATAACTAAATGTGATTCTACCACAGAGCAGAGAGTAGGAAGCAATCTTGTCAAGTTTCAAGAGACTGGGAGTTTTCAACCTCAGCAACCACTTCTCCATGAAGAGACAGAAGGTAGGTTACCGTGAAGCCCAGGCTGGCCTTGAACTCAACATTGTAGTTTTGAGCCTCCCAAGAGCTGGGATTGCAGGTAGGCGCCACTACACACGGGAGTAGATAGTTATTTGTTGTGGGGGGCCTTCCTGTGCCTTGTAGGATAGTTAGTAGCATCACTGGCTTCCATCTCCCTAGAAGCCAGTAAAGCAGCCAGCCCCTTACCTCCCCAGAGTTGTAACAACAAAAACACGGTGCCAAACATCCTGGTGCTATGGGTTTTGTTTTTTAATAGTTCATTTATTTTTATTTTATTTACTTGGTGTTTTGCCTGCACTTATGTGTGAGGGTGCCAGATCTTGGAGTTACAGACAGTTGGTAGCTGCCATGTGGGTGCTGGGAATTGAACCCAGGTCCTCTGGAAGTACAGTCCGTGCTCTTTAACTGCTGAGTCATCTCTCCAGCCCCAGTGCTATGGTTTTGATATAGTTTCCAAAGTTTCCAAAGTTTCCAATTCTGAGCTTTTGGAACCTTTAAGAATGGAAAGTGACGAGGCATTGGAGATACCACCCTGGGGAGTTGTTGTGGGACCTCCGGGTTGTTCTAGTGAGAGTAAGTTGTAAAAGTTCAAGCCCAACTACATAATGGCTCTGGCGTCTGGCCTTGCCATGTGACATCTTCTGAAACCAATACTGCCACCTTGATGCCGCCCACCACGAGGCCCTCACCTCACAGATGGGACTGAGCTAAAACACCCAGTCTCTGTATTTCACTATAGCAATTGAAGATGGACTAATGCACCCAGTTAGGCAGCATCACTCCAGGGTGACTAAAGCAAGGATTCTGGGAGTCATATTGCCATGACTCCAAGCACAGTGCCTCAACTCGTAGGAAACTCAAATGTGTTAACAACCATGAAGGTAAAGTGATTTTGATAGGTCAGTGTCTTCCTTTTCTACTGCTGTGAAGTGACACCATGACCAAGGCAACCTCCAAAAGAAAGACTTTATTGGGGGTCTTGCTTACAGTTTCAGGAGGTTAGTTCATGACCATGGTGGTGGGGAACATGACAGCCTATCAGCAGGCACCACACTGGAGCAGTAGCTGGACCATGCATGTTGATGCACAATCACACAGAGAAGGAGACATTGGAAAGTGTTCTGGTCAGCGACACACCTCCTCCAACAAGGACACACCTCCTAATCCTTCCCAAAGAGTTCTACCGATTGAGAGCCAAACATTCAAATATATGAGCCAACGGAAGCCATTCTCATTCCAATCATCCTAGGCTACAAACCAGGGCAATTTATCCTCCAAACCTGAGCAACTTGGGAGTGAAAGAATTTCAAACAACAGTTTCAGAAACTGAGACTGGTAGCGAAGTGGTGGGCTCATCAGTTCATAAATCCATATACTGTGTTGAGCAAAGAACTGAACCTGATGCCTCCTCTGTGACTATCTTACAAAGTGCACCACACGTATAAACTTCATTTGATGTTCCCAAACCTTACATGGTCTCACTGCTGCCATCATCCCTTTCTCATGTGTGGGAACACTGAAGAATGAAGAATCCCAAAATCACATAGCGAGTTGTGTGGTTGGGATTGTGGGCCCAGTAGACTTGTTTCCTGGGGGCCCGTGTTTTTAACTGGTGACCACTGGTGCTCAAAGTGACCACTGGTGCTCAGGCATCTGAGGGGAGCTGTGCCACTCCACATGGTCTATTCTACACACAGCCCCAGGGAAGCTCTAGGTTACCAGCTGTAGACTCACACTGGAGCATCTTTAGGAAGCAGGACCTTCAGGAGCTGCTGTGATAAAGAGCAGATGGTGCACAGAAATCATTATGTAGTGGAAAAGAGGCAGGTGGTGGTCAACCTTACGCCTGATTTTGAAAAGCTGGTCAGGGCTCCAAAGGTACATCCTCTCCAGGAAGTTGTCACTGTAGTAGGACAGGGATCAAGTGGGTCTTTAGTCTAGGGGCACCCAAAGGTGATACAAATGGAGAAAGTGTAGGAGTCCCTGTCCACATCACTTCACCACGGGCAGAACCCCGCAGGCTATTGATAGTGAAGTCCTTCTAGGCCAAGCATACCCACCCTAGTTGGTTAATTAGACTTGCAGATCCCAGTGAGGAGGGGTAGGAATAGTAACTTTTAAAGCTGGCAGCCTGAGAAGATGGCAGAGGACCATCCCAGAAATGTGGCATATCAATTCTACCTCTGGTCAGCAGATTATGTAGGGGAGGGGGGGGGCACAAGGCTCAGTTTTGCCCTGGTCAGGTAGTCGGCCACATTTTTGAGAACTGTGATGTTTGTGCTTTTCTTGTTATCTCTTGCATTCCTTCCTCATTCTGGGGCTGTTTGGGCTCAGGCACACTTCATGAAATGCTGTGTGCAGTGTCTGCTAGTATCAACTTTGAACTCCTCCAGGGGCATCTGGGCTGGGGTGGGGTAGTTAACTCAGAACAAACAATGAACTGTACATCTGGCATTTCCTTTTTACAATGCAGAGTGCCTGTGTGTCTTCATAATACAGAGTACAAAAGTGTCCCCTTCGGTTGTCCTTTCTGAGCTTTCCTTTTTCCCTTCCCCATTTCTCTGCACAGAACCAGTGTCTCTTGACCCCAATCAGACAGTTTTCAAAAATCCCATCGCTGAGGCTCCTTTGTTTCAAACTTTTTGCCTTTTTCAGCTGTGTCCAAAACCCAGCTAGTTCTACTTTCCAGCTTGAAGCTGATCCAAACCCAAGCTGAGCCTACTGACAAGGGATCTGCACCTCACGTTAGAAGTCACATTGTGTCCTCACACGTGGGTGATAAGCAGAGGCACAAATGCATGCATTTCCAGACACCACACCAAACTGGCACATGCCGTTCTTCATAAACACACAGAGAGACAGCCACCAGGCAGAATGGGCAGAGGGAGAGGCCTGGGAGTGTGGCAAAGGGGGAGGGCATGAGGTCACAGGTGACTGGAGTACTTAGAGGGGAAGTGGTGTCTAGATCTCAAGCCCCAAGCACACTTTTAATTCTCTAATTGTCGCATTGTCTGGAGAAGGAAACTAGAAAGCAGTGGTAGGTGGTGTGGTGGCAAGGAGGAAGCAAAGGGGCCAGGATCTTATGAGTCACCAAAGGCCACCTTGGACAAATCATTCTTGCTGAGGCTGTTTTCTCCTCTAACAGTATCAGACTGCCCTGTGCTTCCCATGCTGGGTGCCTGAGGCACGTTTACAGTTTGATTGTGTACTTGACCTCTCTCCCTCTCCTCCTCCCCTCCCCCTCCCTGCATTTCCATGCTGGATATCAAACCAAGGGCCTCATAAGTGCTGGGTATAGACTCTACTAATGAACCACACTCTCAGATAAAGTAATTTCTGCTTATAAAGGAAAACAAACAAACAGGTATAAACAAGAGATTAACTCATTTTAAAGTCAAACAAATGCCGGGCCCACATTACAAGTTGCTTTAGAGCCCTTTGAGCCACACAGGTCCAACCATTTCCAAAGTTCGACTCTGACCCTCTTCAATGGAGGTTCACTAAATAGGTGGATGGATAGAGCGTTTCCAATAATCAGTGTCCATGAAAAGCAAAGAAGGTTTTACTGGGGTGAGGGGCAGGGATTAATTTAGTTTTCTGGTTTAAGAGCTCTCAGACTGTCCAAGGGTCTGAGGCCTCTCTGCCTTGGTCACCACATCCCTGCCCACGGTGTTCAGGCCAGTGTTGCCAGGCACTTCCTCGTTCCGGGGCGCCCTGGACGCTGCTCCTACGCCCAGTGCCTGGGCAACTCAGGCGGGAGGGGGCCAGAGGGGAGGTGTCGCAACCGCCTCCCTCCCTCTTTCCCCGCCTTGGCACTCAGCTACCTTGCAGATGAGCGCTCTCACAGACTGCAGCGGGCGGCCGGGCGCCCGGCATGTCCCCTGAGTGTGTGCAGAGGACGGGCACTGGCCCCTCCTGTATCCAGGGCCAAGTCAATCGTACCCATTTCCCTTTCTTCTCGGATGTCAAGGGGGACCACCGGCTAGTGCTGAGCGTTGTGGAGACCACCGTGCTGGGGCTCATCTTTGTGGTGTCACTGCTGGGCAACGCGTGTGCCCTGGTTCTCGTGGCGCGCCGTCGGCGGCGCCGAGGGGCTACAGCCAGCCTAGTGCTCAACCTCTTCTGCGCGGACTTGCTCTTCACCAGCGCCATCCCTCTAGTGCTCATCGTACGCTGGACGGAGGCCTGGCTCTTGGGCCCCATCGTCTGCCACCTGCTCTTCTACGTGATGACCATGAGCGGCAGCGTCACGATCCTCACTCTGGCGGCGGTCAGCCTGGAGCGCATGGTGTGCATCGTGCGCCTGCAACGCGGCTTGAGCGGCCCGGGGTGGCGAGCGCAGGCCGCGCTGCTGGCTTTCATCTGGGGTTACTCAGCGCTCACCGCACTGCCCCTCTGCATCTTGTTCCGCGTGGTCCCGCAGCGCCTTCCCGGAGGGGACCAGGTGAGCCCCGGATGCGTGCAACGCAACAGGTGTCCGGGTCGGCTGGGGTGGGGTAGGGTGGGGTGGGGGGATCTGACCAAAGTGGTGAGGTAGGATGATGGTGATTAGTAACAGTAATAGGTCGTCTGTGGAACTGAATCCTTTCTGGCAGACCTACTGCCCAATGCTCTGAAGTTTAATTTCGTCAGTTTTCCCCCCAGTGCCAAGTGGGTAAGTAAATCCCCTCCCCGACCCCCCCCCAATGCTGTCTGTTAAAGAAACTCTTTTGGACTTTTGCAAAATGAAGCGACTATTATAAGGCAAATTAAGCAACGTGAGCTTAAGACCAGATGGGACAAGCAGGGTGCAAGGTGGCTCCTTGTGGAGTTGCTACTTTCTCTTCAGATGTCACGATATTCTTAACTATCACATGTATTTTACAAAAGCTGGGGCACCCACCATCTCCCTTAGACCTGGGCTATACTTAAAAAAGTGCTGTCCCAAAGAGGCCTATAGTGGTGGGATGTCGCCTGTGGGGAGGGTTCCTGCTGCAGAGTTAAACATATTCTGATCAGAAACACTGGTTGTGTGCCCCCCACCCCACCCCACGCCCTACCCCCAAACCTGAAACACTGTTCTTAGAAGTTTGTTTCTTGTGTGGAAAACTGTGGAAAGGGATGTTTGTTTGACAATGACTCTGAATGTGATGCTTGTTTGACAATGACTTTGAATGTCTAACGAACAGGAACCCATCAGATCCCTGGTGCTTCCTTAAAGAACATGTAAGCCTATGATCAAGTCTCCCTGGGTGGGTACCAGGGATAGGGTTAGCTGAGTTGATGATACTGTAGCCTGGAAGAGATAGAGGTTCTCTATCTCACTCCAGGCTTGTCCTTAGCCAGGATAGGCTTGAGCATCAGGGCAGGCTATATAGATACTTCTGGATTAAGTGAACACTCAGGCCAAACTCCTCACCAAAGGGTCAGGTAGGTCACAGGCATGTCCAACTTATATCCAACTGACCACATGTGAATATTACGTGGATAGCTATGAATAGTCCTGACGCAGATGGTGATGCCATGCCACAGTCTCCAAATATTGGGCACCCCAATAAGAGCAAGGCTCTGCCATCAGTTATCTGTTTAATCTGTTTGCTCACTGAGTTAAGGCAATATTGCTGTATTTTCATAGAATTTAAAGGATGTCTTGTTCTTAACACAGAAAGATTTCAGTCCCAAGAATTGAGATCAAATAGGGCATCTTAAATTTCCAGATGTACTGTCCCTTTTTAAAATTCATCCAGGTACAATCCTATTTAGCTGGCAAAAAACTGGAAGAAGAAAGAGGAGGAGAAGGTCTTATCTCCTCCCAGGCAAACCGAAACTGTGTCCTACTGCGGTCACTGGGCCTGGAGCAAGGAGGTCCTTGCGTGTGTGCGCTGTTTGGTGTGTATTCATCCTGCTGGGAGGGAATTTGACTGGAGGCCCTACCGCACTTCCAGAGTTTTTCTGTGCTTCTGTGCTTCTGTGGAGATCATGGTTAGAAACCTCTTGTTTTCATGAAAAAGTACCTGCTGGATATCAAGGGTCTTTCAAGGGGCATTTGGGCAAAGTCACTAGGGTAGAATGAGCTGCTGCTGTTGTAGGGGCCAGGTGACAGGAGCCTTAGTTATTGAAAGTGGTAGGGTTGGGGTGGGGGAAACTTGTAATGGAAAAGGGGGGGCAGTGTTCTGGCTCCCTGTCTGTCTTGTTATCTCCCCTTCCTGACTGTCTCTCCCTCGTCCCATCTCTCTCCCTGTTCCTGAGCTATCCTCTCCTCTTCCTTCCTCCCCTCCTCCCTCTTCCTCCCTCTCACTCTTTCTCATTTCTCTCTCTCTTTTTTTCCTATTTCTTTTCTCATTTTTTAAAAACAGCGTCTGTGATGTGTATCTCTAGCTGCCCTGGAACTCTCTAAGTAGACCAAGTGGGCTTTGAATGGACAGAGATCTTCCTGCCACTGCTTCCGAGTGCTGGGCCATTTATGTCCAATTAACTATCCCCTTACAGAATGCAGCTGTCTCCTCTTCTCTGAGGGTTTACTTCCCACCTTTTTTTTAGCTACTGTGGCCTCAGTTACCCATGGACAAGGAGGTCAGAAAATATTAAGTGGAAATTCCAGAAAAATAATCCTAAATTTTGAATAACTTTTATTTCAGCCTATGATTGTGATTTATTAATTTCTGGCTAACCTCCTACTGTGCCATATTCATAACTTAAAATTTAGCCTAAGAGTGTATGTATAGAAAAACAGGACATATAGGGGTTAGTATACCTGTGGTTTCCATTATCTTCTAGGGGGTTCTAGAATATGTCCCTCTTAAGAATAAGAGGACCTGTGCATTCCATATTTTCTGTATTTGTGTCGAAGGGTCCTAACATGGAAACATGCCCCAGTCTCTCAGAGACTGTGGCCTGGCTTTGTGGGAAGTGTTCCATTTGTGTAGACTTAGCAGTTGAAGAAATCAGAACAGGAAGGGGGAGGGTGGGCATGAGGAAAGTGAGACCGTGTTGCCACTTAAGAATGAAAATGGCAGAGAAGGATCTGGTCTAGACTGAGGTAAGTCTCACATTTGAAATTAGAAGGGCCAGCAGCAGCAACTCAACCCTGTAATCACAGCACTCAAGAGGGTTGAGGCAGACAAGGCTACAGAGTGAGGCCCGGGCTCTAAATAAATACATGAATAAATACAAATAAAAGATGTCTGTTTTTCCAGTCCTTAGATTGACAGCTTCCTACTTGTGGTTCTTGTTTTGCTTTTCCCAGTGGGATGCTACAAATGGAGCTTTCTGGATGAAGAATTACTTCCTTCCCTCTCACTGAGAGCACAGATAGCTGCCCCCAAACCCCCAGCCCCCAGAGCCTCTGCTGCCATGAGACCCTTCAAAACCTTCATCCATGTATAGGCTGGGGTACCTTGCCATCCAGGGGGTCAATAGCCATGCTGGCATTTCTAATCTATTTGGCATTTGAGTGTGAGCTTTGGAGCCCACATTCTGGAGCAGTCTTCCTGCTCCACAGAGGGCAAGCCTTCCCACCTCTGTCCACAGCGTTCTTGTTTGAAGTACGGGTCTCATGGATCAACTACGTGAGATTGCCATGGGGACCTGTGTTTGATAAATGAACCAACACCTGGCCCATACACAGTTAAGTGCTCAAGAACTACTAGCTACTATTAGCTTCCTTATCTTGGGGCATCATCATTTAAACATCCTTCAAACAGCATAATTCTTCTGATTACTGTAAGCAACTGCCATTTCAAGAGGGTGGACCCTTCTTAGCAACACTGACTTCCCAGCCAGGTCAGCTCCATCTGCTCCAACAGGATGCCTGCCTGTGTGTGTTGTGGCCCTGGCCCTGTGGTGACCCACACTTGTGGGTGGGGAAGACTGTCCACTTTGGCTAGAATATGTTGTTCATTCGTTCCACAAACATTTGCTGAATGCCCTCCTCTGCCCACCCCACCACGAGCCACAAACACACACATTAGGAGGTGTTTTTACTAAGTGTGCACATGGACCCAGATACCGCCCAAGTCTGTAGTCTGGTGTGGTCTGTGGTCTACTAACCCCACAAGTAGGGTTCCCATTATTATTTTCTGAAAGAAGAAAATATCAAAGTCAGGCAAAAATAGTTCTTGAACCTAGCCTGGCTCTGACTCCTCTGGGTGTCATAGCCTCTGAACTCCTGAGGCTTAAAGCCCTGTAGGCCCATCACTCCACCCTTCTCTGTTACAATGCAAGGCCGGTAAGATATCCTGTCTCTCTGCTGAGTGTGGATTGTCAGAGGAGGCCACAGTTAGCTTTCCTTTGTTAGCAAATATTAGAGAATATCTTTTGAAAGTCTGTGTTGGCACATTCCTACAGTTCCAGCACTCTGAAGCTGAGGCAGGGGGATCATAAAGTCATGGAAAGACTAGAAAATTTAGTGAGATTCTGTCTCAAGAAAAGAGCTTAGGGGTGTGTGTGTGTGTGTGTGTGTGTGTGTGTGTGTGTGTGTGTGTGTGTGTAGCTCTGTTGGTGTCATGCTTACTTAGCATGTACAAGGCCCTGGTTTCATCCCCAGAACCACTTAAAACAGGCACCGTGATCCACACCTGGAATTCTGTACAAGGGACCTAGATGTAAGAGGTTCAGAAGTTCAAGGTCATGCTTGGCTATACAGTCAGTTACATAAAATCCTATTTCAAATAAATGAATGAATAAATAAATAAAGTTGATAAAAGAGAAGATAACCAGTAGTGAGTCCCCATTCCTTAAAACAGTCTTGAGACCTTCCATCGTGACGTGGATGTTACAATCGGCCCTTGAGACCCAAATAAACACACAGAAGCTGTATTAATTATGAAACTGTTGGCTGATGACTAGGACTTCTTATTGGATAGCTCTGTCTTAATTATTAACACATTTATATCAATCTATGTATTGCCATGAGGCTGTGGCTTACCTAGGAATGCCCAGCATGGTGTTACTCCTCTAGCATCGAGACTCTGGCCCAGTCCTACCTACCTTTCCCAGAGTTCTCCTCATCTCCTAGTCCCACCTATTGTCCTGTCTCATTGGCTGAACAGTGTTTTATTCATTAACCAATAAGAGAATCATACACAGAAGGACATCCCCCATCATTCCATTCTGGTTGAAGCACTGAGACAGGGAAGATGGTTTGCCTAGGGGTCCCCTGAAGTGATGCAGTGAGAATCATTAGAGAAACTGAGCTGTACAGAGCCAGACTCAGACAGCATTTAAATAAATTCCCAAAGTGGAGAAGGGTCGGCACTTGAGTAGAGTCTGTAGACAGTGTACGCATCCACAGAGAGTCTCAGGAGACCTTTCACTCTGCATTTTGTATTGAGTACCTAATGTGAGCCAGGAATTGAGTGCCTTGAATAAGATGGCCTTGGTTCCCGCCCATTGCATGTTTTGCTGGGGTCCCTACAGGAAGTGAGGTGACTACTTAACAAGTTCAGGATGTTGAAAAGGGCTTTT